ATATAAACTGTATACATTATATACAAACATATTCCAGTACCTATATAGTATATATATATAGTTAATTAATTTGTGTCACAGTAATCAACTTGATAGTTTGTATTCGCTATATTTATTTATTCATAATAAGATGATTTATTAGTATATTTTATTTTTATTCGCATACTGGTTAATTTAAATTTTTTTTATTTTTTCCTCAAGCAAATTAAACATCAACTAATAACTAAAATAGAATAATCTTAAATTTTATGTCGAAAAATAATTGATAATATTTTTTTCTTAAACTGTTTTGGTTGTTTTATTTTTGTTGATTTTTCTGGCTCATTATTATTGATCCATAATTAAAGATCTAGCAGACTTTCATTCATTTGACAGTTTAATTTAATTGTGTTTAAAATTTAAATATAATATCCTCTACTATTTTATTTTTACATCCACCACTGTGAATGAGTTTGTATGAAAATAGAAATTATTGGGATGGAATATAGATTCGCAGCCAAGTTTTACACGAAAGCTTCGTTTGTCTAAACAGCAGGAATTTAATTTTCAAAATTCTTTCTAAAACATTTTTTTTTCTTTTATAACTGTACTATTGTTACACGATTAGTCCTGAAAGTTAATACCATATACATTTTTCAGTGATCAACGTTCGGTAATTAAGTAGTCCTGATTTTTTTTCGTTCGGTGCACATAAAATTGTATGTTTTTATTCAGTGGGAGGGTTACTGACTTTAACTCTCTCGTTCATACTCAAAATGTGTTTGTTATTAATGTTGCATTAATATTTAAGTTACAACATCCATGCACAATGTTTTTAGTGGTCATAAAATATCTCCAAATAAAAGTCCTACCACAATAGAGTATTAAAAATAAAAATAAAAATAGATACGAGTCAAAATTGAGAATTCTTAAAAATATTTAATATATTCAGGAAAAACAAAAAAAAAAAATAATAATAAAAATTTATATTTTTACAAAATGTTAATAATATCATCACTAAAATACTTCTTTAATAACAGGTAGCTTGAGTGGGGTTATCTATACTTTTCCCATTTCTCATATGAATATTATACTTTAAGGTTATAAAAAATTCAAAGTTTAACATTTTATTCGCTATGTAAATAATTATAATGTACTAACTATTTGTTAAAATTTACAAATTATAATTATAATATAAATAAAAAGAAAAAGGTATAAATATACTATACGTCATCTAGTTGATTAAGTAATCATTTTGATATTATATTTACCTACCTGTAGATAATACTTTTAAAAACCTACTAAATGTTTACCCGTGAAGTTGAGTCCAACATTATATTTATTTTATATGAATATATAGAAAAAAGGTTAAATTAACTAATAATATGATAAATGTTTTTTTATTTGTTGAAAAACTTGTAAAAATATAATGAATAATATATTTGTAATTTATATTATTCACTTCTACTATGTTTATAAAAATGATATAAAAGGTGTGTATTTATTTAGGCCTATATGTATCTACAGTTATTTTATAATTGTCTGTAAGTAACGGTTTTTATGACGGCCTCGTTAGATATAGCCTGATTGGCAAACAATAGTATACAAAAGGATAATTCCTTAAATATAATGTAATATAATATAGATACTTTTAATTTTAAAAACTTTAAGGATATATACAACATTTTTATATAAACCTTAAGCAATAAATAGTGCACAGTGCACACATATAATATTATATATATTATATACTACATTATTTATTTATTTAATTTCTTCTCACTATTTAACTAAAGATATATATTTATATAACTAAAACATACAATTAAAAATATTATTCCATGTCTAGTACGTAAACACATTTGACAGTTCTCTAAAATATTTATTCATCATGGTATAAACATAACTAATTTTATTTTCGTGACTTAACATAGTTATACGTTATAGGTTTCGACAGTTTAGCTTTTTAAAATTTATTGTGCGCATAATATATACTCTTGGTTTATTTTGCTATAGCAAAATCTTAATTAAAATAATAGAAAAATAAATAAACAATTTAATTTGTCATGATTATGTAACATATTCATTATTCATTTATTATAAAAAATAAGTTTAATAATATTAGAGAGTCATCATTTTTATACGTGTCCATTTATAAAAGATATTAAATTAAAAAAGAATACAAGCAGATACATGTATACTAAATATGAATTAAATTTACTTATATATTCCATATATAAATTCCGCTTTCAGCACGTTTTAACCTATGTTTAGATTTTTAAATACTTATATAATAATCAAAATAAATAAAATATGTCTTTATTGTCTAAGACAATACTCATAAGTCATAAGTAATCTACCCATAAACGATAGTTTAATTGTTTTAATTTGGTTAAATGTATTAGTTTATTACTTATACTGTTATTTTAAATATTGTTTGTGTAGGTTAACTAATAATAATTATTAGCCTGTAATTAATATAAATTCAACCACAATCTGTAATACTATACCCAATAGAAAATATAAACATTTGGAAACCATTCAAAATACAGTATATACCTCCATCAGAATCGTTTTGATTTGTATGACGTATACAAATAATAACAATGTGTTACATAACAATTTTCAAGTGACATTTTTGTTTCTGAATAAACACGTATTACTTCATATAAAATACTTTATTTTATATTTACTAAGATAAATTTATAAAATAGTTTTTTTTTTGTTTTTATTATAATATTATAATCAATATTATATTTAACTTATGTAATATTATTATAGTCGGTGTAATTTTTTAATCGCTTATTAATTAATATTGAACCAGCGACAATATACTACTTTATACTATTGACACGTGTATTTTTATTTGTGTTTTACTCCTTCGCATCGACGACCCACCAACCGCATTAATTATTTTTACATATAAATAGGTATTCATGGTTGGCCACCTTGACACCTTATAAATAGGGTGAAATGGCCACGATGAATTCTAATTCCATATTTAAAGCTTATTCAATTTATTCACATGTTCGTTAATTTTACATTATGTGTTCCGACACTGCATCGAACCATACTATATAATATGTAAGAACCTACCTAGTTCAACTATTTAAAAAAAAAATTGCACGAAATTCCGTTGTATACATAAAGTAAAAAAAAAACTTATTACAAAGCGTAGATATTTAATTTAATTTTTTTTTTTTTTTTGCTACTTTTGCTTACATATAAATCTGAAAAGGCATAATATAATTTAAGCTTGTATATTTTTATTTAATTTATATCTTTCAAGGAAATATGTTTTATATTATTACTTACAAAAACAGTGTTTGGACTGAGGTATTTACTGTATGCGTTATAAAATTTAACTTTGATTTTTAATAGAAATTATATTTTTAACTTTTATTTTTTAAATATAAAATCTGTAAATATTGTTTTATACAATAAATATATGTAATTATATAGTGAATAATATTTATGACATATATATGAATAGGCGTAATATGTACAAAGATGCATATCATAGGTATTTTTTTTTTTTTTTTTTTTTTTTTTTTTAATTTTAAAAGTAAATAATACAGTTAATAGGTAATTTTTAGTAGGTACTTTTAAGTTTTAATTATATTTATTATATTATTCTATGTTTAAATTTTATTAGAAATATTAATATAATAATATTAGGTACAAATTAATAATTTAAATTATTGAAACACTTATTGTACCTAATAATGATAGGTAGGTACTTCTCATAAATAGTTAATTATGTATAATTTGAAAAAAAAATAATAATAAATTTAATGAAATATAAAATAGATATTTTTGCACCTAAATAACGTAAATTAGATGTATTTAATTATAATTACGCATGTAACAGCTTTCAACTTTTTACTACAAGTACAAGTTAGAATGAAATAAGTAATAATTTTTAACGCTAAATGTTAATTATCAATTAAATCTACCTAGTAAACAGTAAAAAACTGTAATAACTTTTTTTAAATCTGGCGAACATTATCGATCAAAATAATGTATATATAATTTCAATGATGTATAAATGAAACCCAAACAATTTAATATCTCGTATCACACAAACTATACGAATCATTTTTTTTTTCCAATTTATTATTTCAAAAGAAATAAGAAATATAAGCGGCTGGTTTCAAATAATTCGTTGCACTTCTAAAATTAATGTTTAACCACCGTGTATTGAATATTTTGTTCTCTTCAATAATGTTATCGTATAAGTCTTTGAAAACAAAACGCCTATTTTTCCCCTAAAAAAAAACGAATCTTTTATTGATCGTTTTATAATACCTCCGGATATAGGATATTGAGTGTATCGTGGAAAACGATTTAAGTTTAATAATAGACAGTATATATATATATATATATATATATATATAATTATACATGAACCAAAGAAATACGATAACTGTCAGGTCGGATTACCGCGGAGACCTTTGCGAATCAAAACACATATAGGTACCTTCTGTCGTAATCTGATACGGGTGCGTGCAGTTTGCACATAAATTCATTAGATTTATGAATATAAAAGAAATAATATAAAGACGATTTTTTTTACGCGATTGATTGAGTAAAGATACCATGGGAAATTTAAAGATAATAAGTCAAAAAGATTTTTATACCAACATATATATTATCTATATTCTATACCTACCTATATTACAGTGCAATACTATTATATACATACTCTTCGCCATTTGATCAATAAAATAATATATATGGTATACATAGGTAGTATTATAGGATTTCGTATTGAAGTTGATAAGTTGTGATCAATCATTATTATTCACTACTATAAAAATACATTGAAATAAAAAATATGCTTAATTTAATTACCTGTAAATAATAACAGTAAAATAGTGATCTTAATTGTTTAACATACAAATGTACATTTGTGTTAATCTATGATATACAAAATTAGACATCATTAAAGATATTAAACATGATATAAAATAATTAAGCTACACGATATTTATTACATAATTTTTTATTAACTTTTTTAGGATTTTCGCAACTACAAAAGAATCCTGCATTCAGTCCCAATAGCTGCATGTCAGGTAACGTAAATATAACTCTGATTTTCCTTTTATTTATGTTTATATATAAATATATGTGTGTATTTAATTTAATTTTAGGCTAATTTATTACATTTTTTGTAAAAAAATTTGAAATGATTATTATGTTGGTACGTCATATATTGGTATATATATTAGTTTTCAATTGTTTTTGTTTTTATTTTTTACATAAAAATACTCCAGAAAATATTTTTATATCATCGACTACGTAATATAATAAAATACAATTAAAACTAGTTGGTAAACAGGGAATGTAAGAATTAAAACTAGGTTATGTTAGAAATTGAATAGAAACAAAATATTGTCAGTATACACATATAATTAAATTAGAATAATCTATTTTACTCCAAAACACACGTCCGAATGTTCGAAGAATACGTTATAGGTATTATACGAATATTCTGCAGCGTGTGATGAAATAACACGATTGTGGTGTTAACCTCTTGTTACCAGCAATAGGGAACGTTCATTGAAAAATACCGGTTTGTCTTCAATAGCTCTTCAACCGCGCTTGTCGTCTATTGAGATAGCATTTCAATAGCATGTCGCTCTTTAGATTAAGATATACATATACATTATACACCTATATTTCTATAATATATTATTAAAATTATTTAATTCAATTGTAGAACTCTGCTGTGTACTGACAAGCACATTAATAGATTAATTCAAATAAAATGATAATATGAATGTGTGCTCTTGAAAAAATATATCTAATAAAATAAAATGCGTGTATGTATACTTACTGCAACATGACGGATAACCCAAAACGTGTCGTTGTTGGCGCCACCGAACTAGGTCTGATTAATAATAATAACAATTTATTCTTCTAGATTTTAATATTAAAGTAACTAAAGTGCGTTTTTGTCCTTGTCCATACACATACCTCACCATGATATTTCTATTTTATTTTAAAGAAACTGTATTTCCTAACAGCTTTTAGAAAATCTTATTATTTATTAATTTTATTACATTTATCATTTATCAAATGATTTTGATATTTCAATTATTTATAATGTTTTACGGGAAAGTAATCGTACTTAAGGGAAGTATACTTATAAAATAATTAGGAATCTCTTATATTGCAAAAATTAATTTTGAAGTTAATAAGACTTGATAGACGTGAATAATTTATTCAAATATTTAATAAATTTTTAATATAATAAGAATATATTAGTACCATACAAATGTATTCTTCGAGCTGTTAAGGATTTAAGATTTAAAAAGTTACCATTGCTATTATAATCAATATGATAAAGCCTTTTAATATTAAATGTAAAAATAATAAAATAAAAATATTTTTTTGAATAATTATAACTTTAATATGATTGAAAATACCAATAGTATTGGAGCCCCTAATCATTGTAGCATATTATATAAATGAGACTTGACTATAGAAGTAAATAGACATTTAAAAGTGAAAAGATCATTGAAGGAAGAATAATTATCCATAGTTAGAGTAAACATAGAAAATTCTTTGTTTTTAATAAAAATAATACGAGAAAAGAATAATAGCTTAGTGTTGAAAAAAATACCAAGATCTTTAATATATGAGTTTATCTATAATTTTTATTTACTTGAAAATAGCAACATATTTATGAATTACGACATGTTCCTGCGCCAAATTTTCTTACTTTTTGATAATTTTCTTCTAAATTAGATTAAATATTATAGTTGAATATTTAGATAAATGTTCATATTTTAGGTATTAGATTAAGATACTTTATTTTAGACAAATATACGACGCATATCCAAGTATTACATTACCATTATTTTATTTTTAAGAAGAAAAATATTTTTGAATTATTACACAGCATTAATTTAAAATCTTTAATTGTTTTAAAAAACTAATATTATATCATAAAGATCACTTTTAAAATATTAAAGTAATGATTTTATTGTTTTTAATTTATACTTGAGTATCTACATGTGTGGAAATTATATTTAAAAAAAAGTATTAATAATACAATCAACAACTGCAAACTTTGTACTAAAATGGTGACTCTGTAAAATGTATTCTTGATTGGGCCATTATAGGGATATTATATTATAAAGTGATGTAGTAAACAGAAGACTCGGATTTTAGTAGATGGTTTTTAACATAGTTAAATAAAGCAATCTTAACTCTCAAGTATAATAAAACTATGGAGCTACCTGTACATGCAATAATGGGATAACACAGTTCTCTTTATTTCTCAGTTATACGATTTGAATAAAAATTTGATTATAATTTCATCTTGAAATGATAACAAAAACGTCGAAATACGTTTTCAATTACCATAAAATTACATACTCGTACATCGAAACGATAATACAAATTACTCAAACATCACTCCGGAGTAATAATAATAAACGTTATTATTATTGTAACGTAATACGATATAATCATGTATTCACGTGGCTTAGATTAGGATATAAGATGAAAAAAAGGTCGAAGAGGAAGTATGTAAAATCGTGAAGACGTTCCGGAACTGAACCTGGAGGTATACGTAACATGTTTCGAAGGTCGTTTTGGCAGTGTTCAGTAGCAGCAGGAGTGGTAACAGTAGCATGTTGTCACCGTGACGATATTGTTATTATTATTATTCGTCGTCGTCTTCGTCGTCATTTACTTGGTCGCAGCAGCTATTGAAGTAGATACAGAGAATTCAGACAGCGGCGACGACGAAAGGAAAACAAAAACAAAACCGAAGGGCAACACAACATGATAATAATAATAATAATAATAATAATAATAATAATAATAAACATAACGAAATCACTCAAACAGCAGCCATATGTCACGGACGAGACGTGTCGACGTATAATATGTGCGTGTGTACGTGTGTGTGAATGCGTGTACATATGCGTGTAGACAGAAGGAGAAAAAGACCGTACCAAAGACTGAAATCGTGGGCGGCATTCGTCGTATGGCGCCACCGTCACCTGTTGACCTCAACATCGCATACGTATATTATAGTATATATATATTATATTATACCAGTGGTGTAGTGCCGGTGCATCTCCTTTTTCTACATTGCGTATATAGGTACTCGTCCTCTCCACTCCTCACATCGCCTTTCCTCTTCGGCTACTTCACGTTTTTCCGTCATCTCTATACAACAGTACAACACACACGCGTCACGTAGTGTTGTAATATTCAGATAGTACGTAGGAAAACACACACACAGTCAAACATTGGAATCGGCAGGTTTACACGATATTATATTATGCTGTTCGGACGAAGGAGAACGGCTCTCACGCGGTGATCACAGGATGTTCTCATGTCGGCGCTCGCGTCTCCGTCGCGGCGGAGCGTCGGTGGCTGTACAACAATAACGTTCGTGTCGCGTCTGCAACATGTCAATCCCGCAACGCTAACCTAACCGAATCACGTCGTCTATTATCGTTGTTATTATTATCGCACTCGTCTTATACACACACACGCACACACATTTATATCATTACGGTCATTATTGTTATATTATTACGACGATTATTATTATTGTAATAATTTATTACCCATATTATAATATATATTATTGTATAATGCGACCGTAACGATGATATTATGTGTGTATAATATGTATCTATGACCCGACCTTCGTTCGGCCGGGGGATGATTATCATCGTTTCGTGCGTATAAACAATAATTATGTACTTATATTACGTATTAAATTTACGTCGTAATTACTATACATTATTAATATATTATCATTGTAATAATTGTTGGGCATTATTATCATCTTAATCACCACTTCTTTTGAACGAATGGTTGTGCAAACGTTTATAGTCATATGAAATAATACATATTGTGTAAATAATGTATATCGAATAGTATATTATATATTATTACACTACTTAATAAATTAAATACACGAAAACAGGCACGTCGATTGCTAACCTATATATGCTTTAAATCGCAGGTGCAATATACGACGTAGGTAATACTAAATCGTATAATATGTAGATAAACACCAATTACATAAAACCACCTGACGAATCTCTATGGTGAAATTAAGGTATTATGTTATAACGTTTTACCACTATACCAAAAAATCAAAATTTTTATTAAGATTCCAAAAACATCATGATACATATTTTCAATAAACAATATCTGAATCAAACTAAAACAAACTGTATTAGATGCAATATCAATATAAATCATATTAAGATAATAGACAATATTGTATTAATAGTAAATACAATAAATTCGTAATAATTTATTGTTCTGCATTTTTATATCTAAATATTAATTATTAAAACTGTCTGTAAATAAAACAACTCGCGATTCTAGAGTAAAACAATAAGTTTATAGTTAAATTGGACAATGAGTTGTTTAAATAATAATGATTTAATGTTCGACAGTAAAATTTCTTTATGACATAAAATATAGTCGCCATAATAAACAAAATAAAAATTTAAGTTTAATATTGTAATAGAATAATAAGTGTAAACAAGAAAACATAATGTTCATAATTTATACATATATAAGGTTTTCATTCTCAATTATTTTTAAAAGTTATATTTATATAAATTTTTTAATTGTAAACAAACTACCTACAAAGTAATTCTTTTGAAGCTTATTATCCCAAAAAATATTAGGATTGTTAAAAATATTGCTTTAAATTATTTAATCATAAAAAAATAACACATTTAAAAAATAATTTTTATTTTTACTATCTTTATTGTTATTATTATTCAAGTGTTAAACTTTTTTTAATAACAACATACATTTTTAGTTATATTTTCTGAAGAATAGGCGGAATGAAGTGTACTAGATAAGGTACCTCGTACAATTCTGATCTATTATATACCTATTATATACTCCGTTAATCTAAATAAATAATATTCTTAAGCCATATAACTATAATTAACTACTCGTTTGAAAATATTCTGCTTTAAAACATAAAATTAAAGAAATATTTAATAAAATCATAACAAAAATGTATAAAAGAATGCTGTTTAACAATAACTAATAAAGGATTTATTATTTTTTTTCA